TTTTAATCCCGAAACGCGTTAAATTTTAAATCTTCATTGATGCACTGACTTTAATACGCGAACAGTCTGTGCGACTGTTTAAAGATAAAAATACAACTTTACTCGAACAAACTCTAATGCAATTACTGCATTGGTCGCAGTTAATTTAATATATAAATTTCAAAAATAGTTCACGAACGTAACGGAATTAAAATTAACGAACGAACGTGCTTCTAGTCCGTGATTTTAATTATATTTAAACGATCAAACACTCCCGTACATTGCTTCGCGCACGATTGCAATGCACGAACACTTGCAACACTGCAATATTCCCATGATGACCTAAAACAGAAATAAAAACAAAATTATGAATATCATTGTGTAAGAAAAAATTATTATAATTGTTAAGAAAGTGTTAATAATAAAAAGTGACTTACGTTTATTCTTCAGTGATGAATGCAGGATGGGTTTCCTACCCTTAGGATGACGATGAGCACACCTTTAAATCGAATAAAAGAAACTTACGGAGTTTCTTTACCCGAACAAACGAAACTTTTTTAACATGCGACGATCAACACTGATTCTACTTTCCGATTCTTTTATATTTGATTTTAACGAAGCAAAACACGAGTACTTCATTGCCTACGCACTCGATTGCAATGATGTTCTGAAACAGAAAAAGAAAAAGAACAATTAATGTCATTGTCGTAATAAAACACCATTGAGGTTATTATAGAAATGTTTGATAGAAAAATATACTTACTTTTAGTCTTCAGTGATGACTGCAGGATGGGTGTCCTACCCTTAGGATGACGACGAATAAAATAAAAAAAAATAAAAAATCTATCAAGCTGAAACATACTAAAGATTATATTATAATACAATATTCCCTGTAAATCATTCCTGAAGGCATTTCACACACTTTACAAAATATTCTATCATAAAGAATCAATGTTAGATATAAAAAGTTGTCTAATCAGCGCAGTTGTCGAATGTTTTAATTAAATAACGTTAGAAATAAAATTATTAAATAGTTTAACCAGTTAACTGTGTCGATCATTTTGCAAAGTGCGCCCTAGTGTGTGTCGCGATAATCAASSGATGACGGATATARTCGTCAAACACAGAGTAAGTGGCGCTGTTGAAATATTCGGTTAAAAAAACGACTTTATTTTAGAAAATGAATGAATTTATAAGTAATATTTAAACAATGGATCAACGTAAAGCTATATTTACACATAATTAACGAAACACTTTAAAAAAATCAAATATTTAACAAACAAAAAAAACAAAAAATTTAGACATCGCGGACATCATCGCAGATGGAGAATCTAACATACTTTGTTTTTTTGGTTATGACACGTCAAGATAAAAATCGGGATAATCAAAGATCTAGTGTCCAACTCAAATTATCTATAATTTTCATTTGTTTATTTCATTTCGTCCTGACCCCTAAACATTCTAAACATATTAATA